CAGCTTGATCAACCAATACTTCTGAATTCTTCGGACAAGGTTGACCGAATGAATGTTTTGTTCATATTGCCGTTATGGAGCGGAATTAACATCACCTCACGTACGGATACGTGGCCAACATACACAGTGACAATGAGACACTTCTTTCAATTTCAAATGAGCTAATTGTCTTCTTTTGTACTCATACAGTTTTAGCACAATCAACAAAGACCGGAAACTGTGCAGGCATCAGGATCATCCTGACGCTCTTTGTTGCCATCCACTTATGACGTCTGTGTATTAAGTTTTGATGATAACCTTCGCACCCAAAGCTTGTACTTGATGCCATCCAAACCAATTGTACCTGTGTATTTGATACAGGCACCTTCCGTTCCAATTACAGAATCCTAAACTCTCATTCTCACAGTCTTTCATTGTCTCCTAGTTCCATCACCGCTCGCCCCTCTTTTCCATGAAGTTTATCCGTCACCAAGGATCTATATGAGAGGACATTTAGGAGGTGCCAAAGCAACACGAACTGTATGTGAGGAAGCAAGGACGTCAGGATTGACGACTAGCAGGAGTGGGACACAAATAGACGCAAGAGGAGCCTTATCATACTGTGCTTTCTACTATTCTCAGAAAGAAGCTGTTATCTTTTGTACTTGATCGAGGCATGTTTGATGGATCTCAATGCGAAAATCGAGCTGTTGATCATTTGCTTCAAGCAATATTGTGAGATTAAGGCGGCCAATCGGAAAACCGTCAGCGCATTAATGGGGTAGTGGTAACCTGGGTCGTTGCCATCCTCGACAAGTTGCATGCTTCTATCGACCCGCCGGGGGTTCGATTCCCCCTTAATGCACTAAGTCAGATCCGAGAACTGAGATATATTTTGTACCCCGTGCGGTCTGATTTTTTTTCACATCCACCTTTGAAATGACATCGCTGGTCATCCAAAGAGTGAATCCAGGCAAGAGAGTGAGCATGGCCCGTTTCTATCATGACAGACGTTTATATCGCAAGGTGTAGATGTAGATGAGTGACCTGGAATGTATGTGACGAAGCGACGACAAGTCTGTTAAAAATATTGCTTCGTTCGAGATAGGTAGGGACTCTTGCACAATTCATGTATCTGGGATTGGCTGTTGGAGGTGCAACTTGTACGAGTATCGTGGGGCGATTACTTCAGACAAGATCCAGATTACAATGTCACGGAGAATCGTACGTGCGTCTGTGAGTCGTTCTATGTACGCGTCGCATGACAGTCAAGGTGCGCAAGTCGACGAGATAAGCGTGCCCATAGGGAAAAATCAATGTGAGATACATTCCCGCAGCCCACGCGTCGACCAATAAACTCTGAGTCAAGTAATAATCAGTCGGTTTCTTGAACAAGATTCAACCAGCACGAATCCAACGCGAGGCCAGTGAGGATTCTAGATAGGGAAGGCCGCGAGCCAGCCGAATTGTATATTCGCCTTGGATGTAGTGCGCCAGAAAATGAGCGGCTGGTGGCTAAGGCGCAAAAGGAGGTACCGATACATCTTGGATAAAAACGTCATGCTCGTCTGGAAATGAGATGAGGTTGCGGTTGCTGGTCTCGGCAAGTCCCGCTGCAATATATCTTTCTTTTTCACGCGGAGTAGGCGATGGGCTCGACTTGTTCTACCCCAAGCAAAAGTTTCTAGTCGAAAGGCATAGGGTTCCCTAGACTTCAAACTCCATGTAACCTCCTCGTCATTCACGTCAAATCTCAAGCGGCGGTGTTTGGACCATCAACGGCCTTCTCGTGACGTAACGCGCTGAAGTTCCAAGGGAGCCTGATGATCATTTACCCCGTGCGTGCGTGCTCACCATGCGGCCTGAGCATTTCCATTAGGCGCTCATTCACTGTCTCTTCCCAATCCACCATGCCAGTCTCCAAAGACGAGGAAGCAAAAATCATCTGCGCCGACTGCACAGTGGAACCCGACCTGATCCTCCTCTCGTCCGATGGCGTGAAGCTCGCAGCACACGCGCAAAATCTCGAGCGGTACAGCATGGGGTTTCCCCCTGCGTCGTTCAACGTCACCGATTGGGACGAGGTGCAGACCGTCGAACTTGAGGAGACAAGCGGCACCCTCCGGCTCTTGCTGCAATATGTGCACCTGAAGCCGCAGCCGGACATCGAAAGGATCCCGTTCGAGCAGCTCGAGGCCCTCGCGGATGCGCTTGAGAAGTACCTCGTGTACGGCGGGATGATGGTGTGTAAGCTTTACATGAAGTGCGTCTTCGTCGCGTTGCACTGTGCGCTGTGCGCTGACTCCACGAGACAGGTCGAACGCGTCGGTGCACCCGATGAATGTGTTGCGGTATGCAGTCAAGCATGGGTACAAGGACGTCGCGGACAAAGCGGCACCATACACGATAACATACTCGCCGTTTGAGGTAAGGGGTTTTTTCGGAAACAACTCGCGGGTGTTCCATATCTGGGTGCGTGTCGTTGTTTTTTTACTTGGGTCCTCTGCGTGATGTGTCCTTTTGGATTTCAGGTGGCGTATAGAGACCAGTGGATGAGTGCGTTGCCGTTGATCTACACGCGGGACATACCATATCCGACGCTGCATCGAGGCGGCCAGACAAAGTGTGAGTTGTGGGATCCGTTTAGGGATGCAGTCCGTCGCGATGTGGAATGTCTGCCGTCGCAGATCGCGCGGTTCGATGATGTCGTGGCTGGGAGGATCAAGTTGGACCTCCAGTCATGCGACCGGTGCGTTGAGCGGGCACGTAGATGGTGTATCTTGGTCAAGGAGAGGATTGGAGACGTTTCGGCTTTCAGTACATATCTGTGACGCATTCTACTATGCCTTTGGTCCACAGCTTTGATTTGAACACGTATATGGTTCAGATATTTACTTAGAACACCACGTCGCATGTCGCGCGGTTTGATGAGATCGTGGCTGGGAGGATAAAGTCCGAACTCGGATCCTGCGACCAGTGCGTGTAACGCTTCTGAATCTGCTATGCTTTTGGTCCGCGGCTGTGATTTGAATCTGTATATAGTCTGAATAGTTAGTTGGCACACCAAGTAGTTGTTACCCTAGTATTCAAAACTTGCCTTGGCTTGTGAACCGACACTTGGTTGAAATTGAAAAGTGACGCCGTAGACCCAAGGGAAGAGTGAGCTAGAGTGAGCCATTAATAACAAGTAGTATCATGAGGTCCCATGGAGATGATAAACCCCTTTATTTCACGTCGACAGGAGACGCTGGAAGCCTTGTGCTCGCTCCTCCCCCGACATTCGTATTCTCTCCTTTCCTCGCAGGGGCGGTAAAGCCGCTCAAGATCGGCTCAACTTGACATGTCAAGCTCTGCGACCCAGAGACCAAATCCTTCGAGTCTGATTGACTCACGGATGACCGCTGGCGAACACTCGCCCGTCTTTACTTCCACGATGAGGTTTCGAGAAGGCATCGCTCTCAGCTCTCGAGCAACTCTCGTCTGTAATCGCAGACGAACTGTGGCACGTAAAGGGTTTTTGCCGTTGGGACGTGGATATCGACATGAGCCGCTAGCCTGGGAGAATCAAGTCCGAACTCGAATCCTGCGACCGGTGAGCATGACGCTTCTGGATCCACTATACCTTTGAGCGGCTGTGAGTCTGGATAGTTAATGAGCATACCAATTAGTTGTTACCCTAGTATTAAGAACTTGCCTTGGCTTGTGAACCGACACTTGGCTGAAATTGAAAAGTGACGCCATAGACGCGAAGGAAGGGTGACTGACCCATAAATAACAAGCATGATGAAACGAGGTCCCATAAGCCCCTTGATTTCATGTCGATAGTGACGGTGGAAGCGTTGCGCTTGTTCCTCCACCGACACCAATGCGTCTTCGTATCCTCTACTTTTCTCGCAGGGGCGGTAAAGCCGCTCGAGATCGGCTCGACTTGACATATCAAGCTCTGCGACCAGAGACCAGATACTCCGAGTCTGATTGACCCAGGACGGATGACCGATAGCGAACACTCGCCCCTCTTTACTTTCACGGATGAGGTTTCGAGACGGCATCGCTCTCAGCTCTCGAATAACTCTCGTCTGTATTCGCAGCCGAACTGTGGCACGTAAAGGGTTTTTACCTTGGTACCGCTGACGTGGATATCGACGCGAACCAGTGCGACATCTGTCTCGAGCTCTAATTCGACAGCTTGAGCCGCTAGCCTTTTCTAAGGATAAGTAATTCGACTTACTTGCACGCGATGCCTACGCGTCCTCGGTACGTCCAAACGACAGAGCACGCGGCGAGAGTGATGATTTGATGACGGGTGAACAAGCTTAATTAACTCGACCGACATCGTCTCGTGGCCTCGACCTCCTATTCGTGCTTGGAGTTACGACTCACACGATGGAGCGGTCCGAGTCCACCATGAGTGGGGTGGATAGGGGTGGAGCTGTGAACCTCCGGCCGAAACTCAATGGTATTTCTTCTCCGCAAAATGCTTCCGCGGCCGAATTGACTTTTGAGACGTGGTGATCACTGTAGGTGTTCTGTGTTATGAGAAGCTCATTTGAAAGAAAGGCCCCTCTTCACGTGCGAGATCTGCGACAAAGTCAGTGAATTGAAGTCGGCTGCGCAGTCCAGTCCAACTCAGGGGCTGGCTCTCCAAAAGGATATAGGAAAAACAGGGTCGATCGGCTCATCAATTCATGCTGGCA